GCTGTCGCTGAATGGCATGATGTCCACGACGTCGGACAGATTCTGGCGAGCCATTTCGGTCGCCGGAGGCGGTCACCCCTACTCTATGAAGTCTGGAACCTCTTTGGTCCACGCTGTCATGGAAAAGTATTTGTTCAGAGAAAAGATGCTCGCTTCTTGCTTCATGGCACCGGATCCCTTGACCGAAGCGAATAGCCTCCATGATCCCAACTTGGAACACGTGTTGCAGGACAAGGAGAGGTTGTATCAGTACTTGTTCGGAGACTCCGTGAGGGGAAGCCATGCATATCAGTCCACTGCGGGAGCTTCAGGTGAGAACGAGTCTGAGCGAAGGAAAAGGGAGAAGGTAAGGAGAGAGAACAAAATGCCATGGATGGATGAGTACTGGGGAGTCCTTCAACCAGAGCCAATCTACTCGAGGACTCAAAGGTGGTACGTCATCGATGACTTTAAGGAGGGTGAGGAGATTTGCTGCGATTACTGTTTGGTCTGCGATCCCGCAGACTCCGATCAGAAAGATGATTGCTATGCAGAATGCATCAACGGAGCAGCAAATAGGTGCCGTGGGATGTCCGCAGAAGACTACGTCCAGAAGCGGCTCCATGCATGTGCTCGAATGCTTTACAACTTCGGCATGGGGCAAACGGTATCATCTCCCACCGTCATGATCTCCGAGATGAACCCGCACGTAGATCTGATGAAGTTCTTACATGAGGCGATGATCATCTTCAACGGGAACCCAGGTTTCCAGAAGGAAATCTCGTTCTTCGGGGGGATCAGGTTGTCATCAACGATGACGGAGAACTTCTTCAAAACGAGGAGAGGACCCAGCATTCATGTGGAGAAGCAGATAATCGGCAAGGCCATGTACTTTCAGGGATCGTATGACCTTGGCAACGTGTGCTACACCAAATACCTCAAGACCATACTGGAGCCCGAGGTATTCCGAAATATGTTCGGAGATGATCCCTCGGAGGAACGGGTAGGTGATATGGTGGAAGCGCTGCTGGGCATGTTAGAGGTTGCTCAACTCTTCAAACACCTGTTCTCGGGATGGGGTGACATCGAGGCTTTGAGGACGGGATTAGAAGAATCCATCAAGCGTGTCACTGCATCACTGTACGACAGGACAACGTATGAGAACCGAAAGCGATCGATGATCAGGACATTGGACCCGCACTCTGAAGAGGCGGCAAACGTGGCACTGATTCTCGTTCGCATGAGGACCACGCCGCCTCCTGAATTCGACATCGACCACTTCTTCGAAATCGGGAAAGAACCAGAACATGGAACAGAGGCTAATGACCAGCCCGAGGCCGAAGGTGTCGATATGGAGACTGAATTTGAACAGGAGAAGGAGGAGCCAGACGTTGACATGTCCGACCCGAAGACATCAATACTGCAAGCCATTGAAGAGTTTGAGGAGAAGATCGGGCAAGCAGAATTCTGCATCCACTGCATGAAGTCGGGACACACAACCCTCAATTGCGAGAAGATCCCTTCATCCTCACCCACAGTCACCTCAGTACTGAGTGATTGGAAAAAGAGAGTGAAGGGAGAGGTTGCACCCGACGATGTACCATCCGGACATCCAGCCGAGGGGCCTAAGAAGAAGAAGCAGAGAGCATCGCCTACTCCAGATAGGAAGGTCGACAGCGAGTTCAGGCGAAAAGAGATGTTGAAAGCAAGAGTCGTGACAATGTTTGACCATGACGGGTTCACCTTGATTGAAAGTGCTGATGGAGTCGAAGGAGGGACACATTCCTACAACGGGCGGAAGTTGGCGGAAGTAGGCCCTAGGGATATGAAGGTGGTGTACGAGTTTGTGGAGAAGGCATTTGTACACTCCAGTACCCTCAAACCAAAGGCATGTCATCAATTCTATCCCCTACCGACACGGAGGGAGAAAGGATACAAGCCGATCGACCCCATGACAATGGTCGGGAGAGTTGAGCTAGTACCGATCAATGGAGTCAGTTTCGCTGCACAGAACTCCGACTACGGCAACCACAAGTATCCGACTCCAGACTGTCGAGTACCAGAGTACAGCCAAGCGAGCCAGGCCCTGAGTCGCCGATTGGGGGCGAAATTGAGACATCGAATTGGACGCCAGTTCAGGACAGGAGGAAGACTCACTCCAATCAAATGCGATGAGGGCGCGTGGGTGTCATGGGAAGACCTATTAGGTGATAACGCGGTTTGGGAAGACGGTTATCACTATGGCAACATTGACATCGTGACCAAGAAGGCGCGTTTGGAAAAGTACCTCGACCAGAACTACGAGTGTTTCCGCATAGCCAAGAGGATCAGATTCCAAATGTTGGCAGTTCGCGTTCACCCTGATGAACTCAATGATCCTGATGACCCGATGGAGAAGGAATGGATTGACGAGCTCAAGGGCATGGGAATTACCAAAGCAAAACTCCACAATAGCGATGGATGGTGCTTTCCCGTGGCCGTAAGAGCAACCTCAGCACACTCGTCAGACGGCGGAGGTTACGACGTCACCATCAACATCGACCACATTGGATCGAGAATGACCAACGACATGGCCCTATCCATGGTGACTGCATTTCACGCTACCAACCTTGGAGCGCTGACTTCAATCATGCGACGGGGGCTGGTGCCAGGAGGTCTCGGTTTATCGGGAAGGGATTCTATCCACTTCACATGTTTTCCGCCATGGGCCTGGGAACAGGGCTACAAGGGAAAACCTTGGCTGGGTCGTAAGGTCGCACTGAGTGATCGCCCAGTGGTTCTCTACATTCCGGTGTGGAAGCTGCAGGAGTACGGGCTTCTCATCTCAGCGACTGGATCTCTATTGGTTGAGGATGTCGTTCCCTTCGATGAGGTTAAAGGGGCATGGTTGCAATGCGACAATGCAGAACCCGGACAGCCTGAGGAGATCGAATGGATCAGGTTACTCAATAGAGAGCCCGACCCTGGAAGCTACCTTGTTCTGGAGTCCAAATACGGAAACCCGATCATGACTCCACGCTATCAAAAGCTTGAGAGTTTGGCGATCGAGGTCCAGGACGATACCTACTCCGAGGACGACGCCAAAATCTCAAAGCTGTTGGGCACGATCGAGGAGAGTGGTATCTATCCAGAATATGATAGCACTGAGTGGCAGGAGATCTTTGAGGAGATCGTATATCGCCGAGCAATGAAAGACTACGATTCAAGACCGTGTCCTAACTGCCTTGGCGAGGTCGATGTGCGATTGACGATATGTCCGCACTGCGTAGCGGTTTTGATCGCGAATGGGAAGCTCACGCATGTGGTACCCAAGGAGACAAGGGACCGCAATCAACGATCACCTCCGAGAGACGTGCCAGCCAGTTCTTCCGGTGAAGCGACTTCTTCTGCAGGTGCAAACATCGACGAAGTCATCAAGAAAGCACGCAAGACAGCCGAAGAAGTCATTGACGTCGAGGAATCCGAGGGAGAGGAAGACGAGGGAGTTCCTATCATCATGAAGGAACGACCGGACGAGGCTGAAGGCGAACCCGAGTATCGGGAGGTCCCTCAAGATGGATACGGGAATGAACTTCCACAGCCTTTCCCCTTCGCAATTGACGAATTGCCACAGGAAGCCGCGATCCCAATCGACCACAACTTTGCAGTCACACAGCAATTTGATCTGAGGTTGATGAAGTTGATCAAGAGCTTGGCCAACGCAACGTTCGACATCAATTGCTTTGAGAATCGTGAAGACGTACTGCGAAAGTTCGACGATGGACAGCGGCATGACACTCCATTCAATAGATGGCCATTAGTACCGAATGATCCGGATACTGGGTTTCCAAGACGCCTTCAGAGAGCCGAGGTCGTGGGCATGAGTAAATGGACCAACGACACATACGCAACAGAAGCGTGGCAGGTCTATGAATTCCACGCCCACGTTATTCACCCGATGATGATCACTGCAATCCGCTGCGGGCTAAGCCACAAGTATCTCAGAGAGGTCGGCAGCACTCGGCGTAACATGAGTGATCCGAAAGCTCGAAGATCTGAGACCCAGGAAGAGATCATCGAGAAGCTGGCATTCATCTCAAATTTCATCAGACGATTGATCAGGAAGACCTTCGGAGCGAGCCGATACAGCTACTACCAGAAGCCAGATGACGAAGGTACCGCTCCATACAAATTCATTGACATTAGCCCCGCCATCAAATCGGAGCGGAAGAATGTCACAAAGGAGATCCTCGTTGCATGCCGCTACTACGGCATAGAGGTATCCGATATCCAAACGCAGAAATTGAAGCTCTTTGAGGAGCAGATCCGAAGGGGAAACCCAAGGAACGTTGAGCTCATCAAGGACTACATTGGTTTTGTCGGAGCTGACTACATGCGACAACTCACGAATGGTTGAGCATTGGGGTCGTGCCGACACACTACTTCCAGTACTTCACGTACTGAGGGATCTTGGGTAATTCATGATGACCATTTTGGCATCATGGGGGTGAGATAGGATTGTGTTTCACACCGTCGGTAATCATATGATACCACAGGTGGATGCACGTTTTCCGTTTGTAGCTCCATTACCTGTTTGATCCATCTTTCGAGCGAATGCAAGATCGTTTGCTAATTCAGTTTCATAGGACATACTGGTTGACCTCCAACGCACTTTTGAGAACATGATTGTTCTCCGGTTTTTACATCCAATCATCTCCCTTCCCCGTCGAAGCACGGATGTGGGGGGTGTGAATAGAGATGAGGTCCCAGTATAACTGCTACATGGACACTGGCCATAAACATTTTGGCTCAAGTGCCCAACCAGGCGAAAAGGAGCTATTGCGCGCGAGCTTCATGTTAAACTAAGGGCTAGAACGGGGCCCGGGGCACGCTTTACATCCGTTCGCAATAATATATTTACTTATTTTATGATCATATTCATTCTGTGACAAATCCCATTTTGTAGGCTTTCCGATGCCGCCTTCGAACCCGTCTTTTCCAGTACCGAACCCGGCGCGGGGTTCCTCTCGCGGCGGGTGCAGGCTTTGGACACCTATCTCAAGCGAATAGGCCACCGATTGCAGTACGACAGCACGGCCCAAGGGAGTGAACACATGGCAGTGGGCCTGCAGAGACTCAACGTATTTCATTGTATTCGTCTTGATGTAGACTCTTGATTAACCCCCAATTTGAATTGGAAATCCTCTTCATATGGGGGTTTATTAATCAAGAGTCATTAGGTGACCATACTCGGCAGCGCATCAATGACTTGTTTTCCGATTGGACCATACTCCGCCGTGACTGGTGGTCGCAGGATACCATGTGGTGGAAAAGGTCATGCGAGTGCCTGGGCTGAAAACCCGAACTTCATTGACAGCGATCAACGCTCGCTCTGTGCGATGTGACAGCCCTGCAAGCCCACAAAAATCAACTCAAAGTCTGGAAGTGTGACTCAAAATGTGACGACCGGTCCTGGACTTTAAGCGGTCAGTCACGAAAACAGTTCCATGTCAGTAACACTTCCATGTAAACCTCCACTGCTGGGGGGCTTGGAGATTTCGGACACGGGGCAAGCCTTCGCCATCGATATATAGCTGATGTATTGTAGGTCTTGGAACTATACTATTATATATAGTAATACTATACTGTAGTCAGATTGCATGAAGATGCGCATTGCAGCAAGGACAATCATGGTGTTGACATGTGTTGACAAATAGTCTGCCCACTTCGTGAGGATTGCCAGGAGCAGAATTGATTGAACTAGATTCAAAGCAATATGATGTGGACACCCCAGGGCGCGGAGGGACCTGGTCTTAACCCAAGGGGGTTCTCATGACGGTACGAGTCCAGTCTGTTTGATGTGTTCGTTCGCCCAGCGTCTGGTCTGGGCCCAGGTGCTTCCTTTTTTCACCTTTTATGGGGGCACTTTGGCCCTGATCACCTGTGTGATCTTGAGATATCGCCAGACACTCAGCTCCGGCATACTGCTCCGACAATGGATTGGATCGGATCTGGATAGGATCGATAGGACACCAAAATTCGAACACCAGCAGATGGATGCACCCCAAACGAGAACAAGGTCTTGCTGTTCACTTTTTCATGAGGGGTTTTCTTCTCAGAGAGGTTGAGAAAACAAGCCAACAGATCACCAAGACCCGTGCTCAACTATCTTTGTGAATTTGTGTGGCAATCACTTTTGGGACAAGCGACAAATCAACTGGTACCACTTGGAAGGGTGGTGAGGCATGTGCTTCTTTCTGCAAAATAATGCATCTGACGAATAGAAACAACTTGTAACTTGGAGGAATCACACCAGCCCTCGCGCCTTTAGCATCTTTAGCTGAGGCTGGGGTGTGCTCATGTCAATGATGCTTTATTCTTGCTTCATGCCCGGAGCCTGAGAAAACACACAGACTCCGACTTGTCCCCACCTGTCCCGACAGGTTCGCACGAGCGGTACGACGTTTGCGTTGGTGAGTGCGTCTGACGACGAACCGCTGTCTTCAGGTTCATGAGCGCTGCCGAGTTGGTGGTGTGTGGAGCCTGGGGCACGGGAGCTCAGAATAGGCCCTCGTGAGAGGTGTGAGTATGAACTGACTTTGCTGCCACATTTGCTGTTGTTTGCTGGGTCAGAGCTTGTACCTGAGGCATGCTCATGGTTTGGATGACGGTCCGCAATGCCGCTGGGCTGCAGTGCTTTTTGTTTGCATTGCATGTGTTTTTTAATTCTGAACGAATTGGTTTTTGGCTCCAAACACTGCGGATGTGTTGCTCACTGTTCAAGGACTGGTACGCGATGTACCTGAAGGACGTTCTCGGAGACGATCGGAGCCAGGGGTCCAAGCGGGTGAAATCGGTGCGAAACCACTCCGCGGGGAGTGAGAAGCCACTCGGCGGTGAGACGACGGGCAGCTGTGAGACGAAGGCTGCCGGATCCGGACATCTCTTCTTGGACAATTCGGTTGTTTCCGAAGGCAACGGAAACGGCAGCTACCTGGGGCTTGTCAAGCACTCCACTTTCTAGTGAAATGCAATGGGGCATTGGGCCACCTTAGCATCCAAGATTTTGTCAAAGATCTGCAAAGATGTATGAGTAAATCAGGGCCCTGAAGCCAAGAAGTCTTCCCCAAGATGTCAAGATCTCACGAAGTCATTGCCAAAGATATCCAAGAATATTAAAGAGTTCGAGTTTTAGGGCATCATGACTACCCTGGAAATGCCCATCCTGAGCCGAGCGCCTGGAACCAGGTCCCAAAGTGCGTCGAAATGCGATGGCCTTAGACAGAACAAGGAGTCAGACATGGTCAGATGCAGTGAACAAAGAGTCAGACATGAGACATGGTGAGATCATGTCAGATCAAGCTCCTCAATCGCCTTTGAGGCCACTTTCCGGAAAGGAACTTTCTGTGACTGAACTGTCTCACTTATTGTGCCACTCATGCTCCCTCTCAGCCTTTCACTTTCCAGATTCCATGGTTTCAAAGTAGATCGCACTGGCACCCCTGTCGATGACTTTAAACATGGAGGTCCACTGTATATCTATGTTGAATTGAATAGTATCTCTACCACTCAAGATATAGACTGTAAAACAGTTGACTATATTACTTAAGAAGTGTATCTACCAGCGCCTGACTATTCAACTTGGGGATTGCACCACTGGACTGAGGAATCCGCCGGCTCCCCTTTGGCGGGAAGTGGCAACGAGTCACCCACGCTGGATGCACTCAGCAGTCGTGGTGATCCAGCAGTGAAGGATGCATTTGGGCAGTTTGGAACTTGTTCCAAATTTGTCCATTTTTATGTACTATTAACTTAGCCTGTGCAAAACCATTCCATCCATTCACATCCATTCCCACATTCCATGATACTTCCAACTGTTGCCAGGTCCTACTCTGTCAGAAAAGTTTCAGCTTTGTCTATTATACATGCCACATAGCCTACGCAGTGCCTCACTATTTAACTGTTGTGCTGTTGCATCCCCGTGGCAGAAAAAAGGCTCATTGGCCTCCTCACCCAACAACGTGCAATCCTCGCACAAAGATGAGGCTGGATCGCACAATGCCGCCACCAACACGAGCCATTTCCTCAGAGCAACTGAATTGCTAAAGCGGAAACATGTAAACGCAGCGTTCAATCGTGTTTAAGTCGACCTTCCAGTAGAGTGTGGAAGTCAAGCACTACAGGAATGGCAATTAGGGAGATTGTGATCTAAAAGAACCAGCCATCAGTTTGAGCAACATTCAATTAAAAGACCATGTAGAATCCTTCAGAACCTACTTTGTCATGTTGTTTGTGTGGCACCTGATTTACCCCTTTGTGTATTTTTGTGTGTTTCTAGTAGATCCACTGACAGATCTCCTCCTGGCCGGCAAAACCATCGCGCCCAAAGGTTTGGGCCGAGAACAACGGCGAGATTGGGTGCCTTTGCGATGCGCGGGGGGGGTCATGCCGGCGTGGATCGAAGAGGCGAAACGAATGCAGTGACGGGGGTCCAACGGGGGTCAAAGGGGGGGCCACGAAAATCATAGAAGATCCCAAGGCCAACCTTACCCAACCAACGGATTTGGCTCGAGTTTTGCCACACTCAAATGATCGGAATCAGGCTCAATAGGTCTTAAGCACGCTGCAGAGTCCTTGCTGCGGTGTACGTTGCATCTCTGAGGTGGAATGATTTGCGGGGACTCCTGGGTTTTGGAGACGACGTGTGTGTTTTCCAAACATCACCAGGCATGTCTTCCCTTTTCTTTGATTCGTTACTTCAATTGGACCCAGTCATTGTTGTTGGCTCTAAAAGGCTGAACAGCGCAGCTGCCGAGCACAGAAAGACACGTGGGGAGAAAGACATCGCATAGCATGCACTTGCAAAACAGGCTGCAACATGTTAACATGCACTTGTTCTTTGCTTCGTTGGCTGGTGATGCTTGCCCGCCGCTTCTTCACAATGAGTGGTTTGGCCGAGGCTTCATGTGGTCATGATCCCCACCTACAAGACTCCGATGGACTGTTTACGGATGGCTTTACACGCAAGAATCTCAGAACATCCTGAAATTCAGTTCTGGTTCATTGGTTCATGTTCTTTTTTTGTCTCCCTGAATAGCCTACATTGCTGACATTCAACTTTGCATGTACAGCCACAGCCTGAAGTGCTCGTTGTGGCTCTGCGAGGCCTTGATGAAGTACAGCCTTTGTAGGACGGGAGTGAGAGACACGGTGGGCCTTGATGAAGCCGTGCCAGCTGGCATGCGCCAGTCCTGAAGTAGTGATTAGATGTTGCCTGTTCAGAAAACCTTTTTCATCAGCGAGTCGCTAGTCTACAGATTTTTCCAAAAAGAGCTCCATTTGTATTCCAAATCTGACACTGGGAAACCGAGTCGTTGAATGTTGAGGACGAACTTGGCTGTGTGCTTTGCATTTGAAGAGCGTGAGCAAGATGCTCACGAGAAGGCAAGGGACGACTTGCGCATACCACTTCGAGTTGGGTTTGGAAACCTGTCTCCCTATTACACCGATTTCATCGGGTGTCCCTCTTTTTGCCTGGCAATTCCCTGCGGACGCCTTTATGAGGCTTCAGTGAGATGTGTGGAGGAACGTCTCCCATTCTCCCTCCAATGAATCAGCTTGTCTCCGGCAACTGGGAGGTTGGATCAACAAAACTACACACACACCATTCTACACGTACTCTTCATGCCAAGTGGGGTCAGTCAAGGCCAAATGCGTTTCGTTCTCGATCCACAAACCTTCGCTTCTGCACCTCTCTTGAGGCGGAGCAGATCAAGCAGGAGTACGCGGGCGAATTTGCCTTCGTCACAGTGACTGGGACAGAAAACGACGCAACATGTGCCAGCAGCTTCAGCTGCAGCCAAGTTATGGCGCTGCAGCCGCACCGCTCCTCCAATGACATCTGAGCTAGCATTGACGATTGTGTTTCCGCCAAAGTGAATCACGGGGTACCCGGTGTAGCCCCGGATGAATCTCTTCACAGATTTGGTGCATCCTTTTTGGAGCACTGATGATGTCATGCCCTTTGGAGCACTGCTGTGGGTTGAAATCAAAGCCCAAGTAGAGTAGCAAGTAGCAAGTAGCAAGGTCAGTGTAGCAAAGAAAAAGTTCTTGCTGCTAGCAGCAAGGGGTAGCATAGCAGGATAAGCGCATATACGCATATATAGGATCATATAGGCGTGTAGTTCAGAAAGCATTATCGTTCCTAGTAATAATGAAGGATAGATAGTGTCTTCAGAGCCGATTGAGTTCTTTAAAGAATTTGCGCTTGGGCTTGGGTGGAATTGTACTGCCAACGATGCCCCCCAAAAAAACTCACTTCAAGCATCACCACCCCCCAGCCCCCAGCCAAAACACCCACGCCTCAAACCGACCCGGACCCCTCCCGTACGGCCCGGACCGCGACCCGACGGACGCTCTGTCCGTGCGGGAAACGCTCTTTCGTCGCTCGGGTCCAGGCAGCGTTTCATCCTCCCAACTTGCCGGGGAGGCTCAGAGGTGTTGATGCGATGTCCGTTGTCTTTTTCCAAGCCAAATGATGGCGAATGGCGGACAGGATTTTAAACGCGGAGCTTTTTTGGAGCGGTGTTATTCCCTAAACAGTTTACTGTTGCGGTTCTCTCTTAGGAAAAAAGAGTTGGCGACAGTCTTGGGCCGCGCCCCTGAACCCTGTGTTTGGGTTTTGGTTTTGTCCTCCTTTTGTCCTCCTGGTGCTTGCAATTGTCCTGCTGTTGTTCTTTGGCCGCGCTGTCCAACCTTGTGTCGTCTTCTTGTCCTCTTCTTGTTCTCGTGGTGTCCTCCTGTTGTCCTCCTCGTGTCCTCTTGTCCTCCAGGTGTCTTTCTCCTGCCTTCTTGGTGTCCTCTTCTTGTCCTCCTGATGCTTCTAGTTGTTCCCCACACAATTTACTGTTGGGGTTCTCTTCCGAAAAATGGCCATGGTCTTTGGCCGCGCCCCTCAAACCTTGTGTCCGGGTGTTGTCCTCCTGTTGCCCCTCTTCTTGTCCAACCCTGTGCCCCCTCCTTGTCCTTTTGGTGTCCTGCTGTTCTTTGGCCGTGCTGGCAAACCCTGTGTCCTCACCTTGTTCCCACAAATTCCCAAAACATGTTGCATTGTCATTGTCCAGTCCAGGCGTTGTTTGTTCTGTTGGCCGCTTTGTCCTGCTTGGGGCCTTGTTCCGGTCTGTTGGTCCTGCGTGTTCACCATGGCCTTGTCTGGGCCTTGTCCACTGCTTGGCCACGCCGCGTTTTCTTTATCCACCGCCTTGTCCGGGTATTTTTTCGTGTGGCTATGAATGCAACAGTCATGCAGTGTTTCAAATTTGATATCATCCAAACAGCCGGAGGCTATAGGTATATAATTGCAGGCGTTCTCACCAACATTAGAAGTCAAGGAGTTGACGCTTAAAGACACTATTGCCGACACTGTTTGGGGTCTATGCTGGCCAAAGGTTTCTTTTGTTGTGGTGTAGGTTTGGAAATTTCAAGAACGGTCTCAGGAACTCAAGAGCGATATGTTCGTCAGGCCTGAGATCTTGAACATTTCCCCTCTACCACGACAAGAACGATGGCTCAACTACTGTACTCCATACATCTATCTCCATAGTACTGTACTTTTCTTCGTTGGGTTTATATATTATATATATTTGGTCTTAGACTGAAACGGTGTTTGGAAAAGAAGCTGTAAGTATCTGAACTGGTTTTACTTGGTCTCTAACTGAAACAGTTAGGACTACAGTGACGAATTACTTGCTACAGACGGGCGAACTCTTTCCGAAGCTCAGCTGATTGCAGCACAAAGGCCGGGACACGTGCCGGGCAAGAGTTCCAACGAGTGCTGGGCATTCCAGGAACTCGCGAAGGCCAGGGAACGAAGGGGTCCGTGCATCTCAGTGGATTGTGGCCATCATGTTGACTGTTGATTACATCTTCATATGGGTTGCTATTCTTTTTATCAATAGTCAACATTACCTTTTGGCAACGATCATTCAAAGACCCCTGAATTTGCTCCAGCATCTCAAAATGGGCCGGGAGCAACAAACCGTTCGGATGGCGTGCATTGAAACGAAGACTTCAGGGGATGATTGACGCCGTTCCAATGTTCAGAAGGAAGTCGCAACTTCTGATATGAGGTGTATCACTGTATCACAATACGAAGAACGGGAGACCCGTGAAAAGACCTCCTCGAAGAAGGAAAAGAGACGTTCGTCTAATTACTTGTTGGGAGGTGTGTTTTCTCTTTGTTCGTCCTATTTTCCTATGGACCCTGGCAAAAAAGAAGCCATGGTTTGGTGCGACCTTCATAGAAGCAAACCGAGTCCTCCCATCCGCCGTGCACACCGGCCTCGCAGCTGGCGCCGGGGCCGCACGCCGTGCGGCCCGGGGCGGGTGCCATGTCCCGTCCGTCACCGTTCAGGAGTTGCGAACGCAGAGAGGCTTCGATCCGGAAGACCCACGGGTAGTCATCACAGCGCCTTGGAAGCGTCAAACCGGAAGAAGTGTCCCGTGCAAAGCGTGTGTTGTGTGTGCTTTTTTCCAGATGGTCCAGGTTCACTTGCACAAGTCATGCATTTGGATATGTGTTAAAAGCCGGGCGCCGGCCCCGGAGCCCGTGTCCTTGCCGGAGGCCTTCGCTGGGTTGCCGAAGGTAACTAACGCCCGCCGCCGGGGTTCCGGGCGCTTCGGCCGCCATGGGATTTCATCTTGGCGATGTTAAAACGCCTCAGTTTTACCGTGGCTTGGGCCTCGGAGAGGGGGGACAGAAAAAAATCAAATCTTAAGAGTATGTCAACATAAGTGGCGCAAAGTACCCCCAACATAGGCCCAACATAGCCCCAAGATGGGCCAACATAGGCCCAAGACGGGCTCAATGGCCCAACATAGAGGGCCCACATAGCCCAAAGATGGGTTCGACCTGACCCAAGACCACAACCAGAACCACCGCAACAACAAGAACCACAACAACAACAACAACAACAACAATCCCTCCTACACATATATGTGTCTATATATATATATGTGTGTGTGTGTCTGATATCCGTCCCCCTACTCCCCCCCCCACGTCCTTCCTCCCTCTCATGTGTCAGCCGGCGCCCGGCTGTCAGGCGTAAGCCTTTAGATAGTTGAAATGAGTTCTTGCGGTGCTGGTGGCACGGTGGTGGAGAGCACGTACACTATCAAAACCACAATGAAAAGTACTCGCATTAGGAAAATATGGTGTTCTTGGCATGGCTGGTGCGATGGTGCTTGTTGAGGGTGTGGTTGTGGCTGTGTGACCACATCGTGACTGTCTATTGGATCGTAGCACTGGTGGTCACTCTCCATAGTGTCCGGTAGGAAGTGCATCTAGTGCATCCACAATTTACTGCATATCATCTGGCCCGGGGAAAGTGGAAGTTGTAGAAAATGGGAGGAAGCAGCGTGATGTGACATGGTGTTTGTTGGAAAAGGCTGCTTGGCCCTTTGTTAGTTGACGACATGCTGTTGACCAGAGTATTCTCAACGTCCACACGTGTGCGCTATCCGATGGATTTGCTTGGTACTGAGCACTGCTGTCGGGGTTATGTAGTTCCAAACTTCGCTTGCAAGACGAGTGAATGTTTGCCACACGAGTCCACAGGAGACATGTGTCATCCGCATTTCGGACCGACGCTTTCGGACGGATCACCTCCCCGGATGCATTGGGCCCAAGGTGATTGATGATGATTCCGAGCTGCATGAAAACTACTTTGAGGGACTGACCTATCACTACTTGAAGGTCCGATGGTCCGACAGATTTGTCCTCCAGCAAGTGTTCTGGCCAAAAATCATGGCCAACTTCATAGCCATGATTCGGAGGTTTTTCTTGGAGAATTTGACTCAAACCCTCCGCCCATGGTTCTCAAGAGTGCTTCAGACGTGGTCTTTTCTCAAGCACAACTAGCACGTTGAGCAGACACGATGTTGCTGTTGCAACATATACCTTGCCCTTGCAGTGTATGTAGGAGGAGAGAGCCACTGGATCTAGAATCTAGCAGAACTGGCTGCTGGTCCTTCATGGTCCCATCATGAATTCTCAATCGATCTTCGATCTGATCCATTAATCTTCGAATGCTGCGTCATTCATCTTCGAATGCTGCGCTAGGCATCTGATGAGGAGCGCTACATGACCATGTTTCAGCCTCCAATTGTGCACTTCAAGAACTTTCTGACACAGATGGGGCCCCAGAGACCGGCATTTTTGATGATCAACGAACATGGAAAACGAACGAATTCGACGTGGCACTATATATTTTATATATATATATAGTCCTCACCCTGGAAGTTCACTGAAGTTTTCCTACCGATTTTCCGCCAAAAGGGTTCAAAGAGTCGAGGTTCAAGGAGTCGAGGTTCAATGGGTAAAGCTGCGAAAAGGCTGCATCAGGCCTCGCGATGGCATGTGGTCTCGTGACCACGTGTTGCTCGCCACATCTTGTTCATGTCAGATCTAAGTACCATCTTGGCAATTTCGACACCGTTGGGCCTCACAAGTCGCTCCGCTCAAAAGAACCTGAGGCCCATTTTGGTGCGGAACGCCTCACTGTTTACATCGCTACACGAGCTGGCATGTTTAGCAAGGAACCTAGCACTCAGACAGGTCTCCCAACACTCGTTTCAGGTGATCTTGGATGTTCAGACCTTTGCAGCGCTGTGGTTTGACGGTCTCCCCATGTCTCCCCTGTCCTCAAGCCAAGTGCAAACAGCCTTGTTATGTGCAAAGAGCCTTGGATTGAAATGAGGCCATCGCTTTCAGCGGATCAGCTCAGGCTGTCGCTGCAGCGTTTTCTTTCTGTTCAGCTCAGGCAAATCCGGTGGACTGCCACGTCGCTTTCTCGAGCTATTCCTTGAGCTTCATTTTGGCCAATGCTGTACAAGGAGAGTCGGCTGAAAGGTTCAGAAGTTCGTCGCAAGATTCTCGCCTGATAGAGAGAGAAGTTGGTCCTGCAAGCCAGCAGCAAGAAGCAGCTGTTGGGTGCGTTGTTTGCAAGACATTTCAGTCAATTTATTCTTTGTGTCCTTTACTTCCATTGCTGGTGCACCATGCAGTCATGCTCATTGTCTTTCCGCAGGCTGGGATCCAGATTTCATCTCGGAGGACCAGTGAGTCTCAGACAAGACCGGGGATGCTTGCTTCCTTTGGACCCTGACGAAGTTGGCCAGTGTTTTGGTTGAAGGTCTTTTTGAGGGAGCCTGAAGAGTCTTAACCGAAGACTGTCCAGAAGAGGACTGGCACATGACAGCCAAGACCAAACTGATGACTGAAGGTGCCGGGCTTTGTTCAGTTGCTTTTGGATCAAACTGTGCAAGAGCTATCGCTTTCATTTTGTGTTCATTGAAGTTAGTTCTTATTGCAAACTCCAATCATGTAGTCGACATATATAGTTTACGTAATGCAGATAATGCAATAAGGCTCACTTAGCATTGTGAGCATCAGCTAATTTGGGTTTGCGCTGTTGCATCCTTCAAGCCAAAATGAAGCTTTCAAAAACTAGTGAAGGCAAAGGAGTGGACTTGCTCCATAGACTGTTGGGACTTACTTGCACATGCAACTGCAGAAGCGAGAGCCCAAAACAAGCCAGCCAACTTCTTACTGTCGATCCTTTCTTCGGCGCAACTATTGCTTTATACAATCAAACCTACAACAGCCTTATTCTCTGCTACAGTAGAGGCATTGTTCGTTGTATCCTTGCTAATGTGGAATGTTTTCTGGTGTTTGTTTGTCAGCAATTCTCACGTGTCACAACCTTTCCAGGTCGTGCTCGAGTGAAGCCAATCTTCCTGCCCCTCATGAACTATGCACCAGAAGAGGATGACGCGCGGAAACCCAGCCTATTTGATGGCCTTGGGCAAATTAGTGAAACATGGTGTTTTCGCAAAGAGTTTGCTTTGACTGCTTTTGACTTTGGCTTCTGGTCAAAGCTTGAAAAAAATGCACGAGGAGTTCCACCTCCTTGTGGAAGGGGCGCCCGCAGAGGAACTCTGCAGAACATCATGGAAACTCCCATGGAAACGATTAGAGAGCTCACAAATCTGGAACTTAATGAACGCCGGTCTGACTCCATAGAAGTGCCAAACCAGCTGTTTGAGAGAGAAAAAGAAGACAGAGGCTTGATCATGCTGATCCATCCCTAGTCATCCCAATCCCGGAGAGTCGAAGCTGTAGACTCTAAGGCTTGGAGCACCGTGATGCCGGAAAGCTTAGAGTCGCGTTCCTTTGCGTTCAGAAAAGGTGTCTCAAGGTCTAAAGTCTAAAGGAACACAGAACAGGCTGTCGCATTTTTTTTAGTTTAACGTCCTTCTGTGTGCCCGAACATCCCTGAAAACAATATCTTTCTTTGGTGCAAAGTGTAAGACCTCAGACCTGTGTCAACGGGTGTGCTCAAGCCCACCTCACGACCACAACCTGTAACTAATTGGTTGCGACAATCCATCCTCCCAAATTCTTACAAACTCAAAAAGCCACGCTGCTTCCATACTGCAGAAGTGCAACGGACAGCATGCAACACTTTGTGCCCTTGCCAAAAAGATGCTTAGGAAAATATGGGACAGTCTGGCCATGTGGGATGATGCTCGTATCCTTCAAGGTTGATTTGGGGTGCGTAGCGCACAAAAAGACAACTTCATGGGGTAAGGAATTCACAGATCAACTTTCAGAGATCAACCTCATTCAGTCCCTCCTCGCGAAGCGGTCGCGAAGCCGAAGCGCTCGTGAAGTGCTGGAGGTCCCGCTGGACACAGGCAAAGCGCCATGCACTGGGCATTAGTGAGATCGTGTGCGCCAAAGGGGTTGCAGCAGAGGCTGCTCGAACAGAATTTGATACACAAGTTACCCACACTTTTAAGATCTTTTAAGTTTGCAGAAGTTTGCTTGGCTTTGCAAATGCTGTTTCGGTACTTTCTGGATCTTTCTGGTCAACTGTGCGGTCCTGGGCTTGACCTAACAGCTAGCATGATGTAATAGCCAACTGTGATTGGCTAAGCCAACTGGAGCCATGCACCAGTGGTTTGGCTACGCCATGCTACGCCCTGTCTTTGGGACGATCTTCAACTCCCTTCGACCTGGAGCATGAATGGCTCCACGCACCAGTCAGACAATTGTCATCCCTCCAGTCAGAGCTCCAAAGTGTAGAAAACTCATATGAGGTCTAAAAGCAAGCAGCTGCTGAGCAGCTGCTTCTGCAACTCATCGCTTCAAACATCTTGAGGTACGTGGCTACGAAGATGCCTCCCCAGCCATTTTGCACTGTTTCGAAAGAGATCGAAACAGGCGTTGGAAAGATGTGGAACAGTTGCTTTGCATTGCATCTCGTTTGCCTCATAAGCCTCGTGGGTTTTATGCTGTAAGCCTTGTATGATCTTTTCTGTTCTTCGGTTGAATCCTTTTGACTTCCACGGTGGGAATGCGCTGGGAATGCGAGGGGGAAGTCAACCTGAAGGGTCTCAATTGTTCAACTGGGAGTCCCCTGGTCACTATGACCAGGAGAAAGAGAAGAGGGTCGTAACTTCATACTGAGAGCGGCGTAACTGACGGAAGTCTTGATAAAACAGTCGCGCTCCTGTCGCCTTTGAGCAACGGATCACGGGCGCCGCCAGGTATATTGGAATGTGTGAGTCAGATCCTGGGAGGAGACGAGACAGACGAGCAACATAGTCACTGACATAGTCATGTATACAGACCTCCAAATAGATAGAAAAGTAAATCCCCACTAAAAATGTATTGGACACCGTTTCTATCTCTTTGGGGACCACTATATAGTAACAGAATCAATCACAACCGTACCATGTGTTTACTGAAAGTTTTGCTCTGAGTTGTTTTTCATGGGTCCATGACAAATGGCAGACTGACAGTGGTTCTTTGAGGGTTTACCTTGCAATGCATTCTTTGTGGATCTCTATGGATTTTTGTGGAGCTTTTTTTTGGTAGTTACATTATTGACTATATGGTTACATTGTTTAATGGATCTTTGTTTTTGGGGTAACGATATTTTTTGGTAACTATATTGTTGCCATCCCATTCTTCCATCAAGTTTGATTCATTCTTTTGGATTTGTTTCACGACCCGAGGTGTGGTGATTTCTGGCGAGGAGCCACTTTTGTCTATCGTCTGGAGCTCAGATGGACTGAAATGGTGCACGTTTCCATTGGCAGAATCTGCGCCCAAACAACACTGACATCACAAAACCACAGAATCTGGAGCTGCTTGCGACGTTTTGCTACTACCCTGTAGACGCGCTCACACATCTCACACCGTGTTTTCCAGAGTCTGTTTTCATGCATTTGTAATTTTTCAGAACAGGGGACCACCAGAGTGCGTATTTTATGTGTTTTTGCTACCTACTTCCATCTATGTGCTATAAACGTCCCACTGTGGCCTGCATTCATGCTATGTGTCTGTGAAAGCTGCCTCAATGTCCTTTGCACTGGAAAACAAACACAAACAGTCTCGAGAAAATATAGAGAAAACCAATAACAACCTAGGAAAAGCCAAAAAACCTTGGGAAACCCAAAAAAACAAAAGAACCAAAAGACCAATGGCTGGACCCCCCCCTTTCCTCAAGACTTCCCCAGAATTGTTTTTTTTGGTTCTTTTGTTTTTTGTTTCACAAGGTTTTTTTGTTTTTTTGGCTTTTCCTAGGTTGTTATTGGTTTTCTCAAGGTGTTTTGTTTTTTCCTATTTAGGTCAATCTGTGTCCTTACTATTTCGTTCAACCTTCAAGTATGTGAGCCTAAGTCTCACCCAAAGGCATATGTTCTTTGCTCTTACAATGAAAGCGTCTGAGCCCACCACTCCCTTTGTCCTTGTCGAAATCTCCATGTACAAGTCTGTGCATTAACTTCTGATTGGTATCAATGTGGTTGCCAATTGCATGTCCAATCAGCTTGACATGAAACTGTAATGATACCTTCCAATTTATATGAAATTGTTATGAATCTGTGTAAGCTGTAGTTCTAATTCAATGCTTGTTGCATTCGCTTCGGCTTTGTAATTTCGAAGCCTCCTCGACTTGTGCATCTTGTAGCTCAAGCGTTTTACATCTTATTCTGGCGAGCTTCTAATTTTAATTCCAATTCCTTTCTAATTCAACTCTCATCTAATGTTAAATAGGTTATAGTTATAGTTCAATACAAGTTTAGTTGAAATTCGGTTTTAATTCAGTTCTATCTTAGCTCTAACTCAAATCCAATTTAATTCTACCATTCTAGCTCTAGTCTATTTAGTTTAAGAAAACACATGCTACAAAACCCCGTGTTTTACAGTATGTTTTTGCCCTGGGAGAGCTGGGAACAAGACTAAAACTCTTTTTTGAAGTGAATAGTTAGTCTTTGTTTATTTACAGTAATCACTGGAAATAATATAAAGACATATTAAACTTGTTTTATGTACAAGCTTCTAATTCAAGAACTTCCCTCTAGATCTCTGTGGATGATCATTTCTACAATAAACAAATATATATATATATAAGCTGTCATTTCAATAGCTTTCCTCTGGATCTCTGGAAATGATCATGTCAAATTAAACATGCTATATATCAATAAATATTTTTTCAAGAGTTTTTATTTCATGAAAACACATATATGGGATATCTACTTTCCCAGAGATCCAGAGAAAAACGTTGAAAGTGCAAGCTCTTACCCGCAGAAATTCAGAATATAGCTTTTAAGATACAAGGTGTCTATATAGTTGTTTAAATCTAAAAATGATTATCTGCAGAGATCTATAGAGAATCTTGTGTAACATAAACGCGTCTATATAAAATATGTCCAAATCTAAACATAATTACAAGCAGAGATCTAGAGACACGTTTATGGCCTGCTTCTTTCCTAATTATGTTGTTCAAAACCATCTGAATGACTGCTTGCTGCTTCCAAAACAATAAAATGACCCTGATTCAGGAATACATCATATATTTGTTCATATAGAGAGAGCAGGAACAGATTATATATATATGTGTTTATATGGAGAGGGGCTACCACTGAAGCATTTACCTAAAATTTTGGGAAAACCAAAACCCAGGCCCCATGTTAGAGTAGAGTGGTATCTTCTGCCCTGGAGTGAAAACAAGCATTTTTGCATATCTTGAGCATCAAATGATACCAAACACTTTTTGAACAACCAATTATACTTTGCACTCTCACAGTCCCCCGCTCTCTAATTTTTCCACCTACAGGGGCTCAATCCAAGAGGCTTCCTGCTTGTAGCAAGTCACAGGAGGTAACTCATGGATGCCCACCTATGACTGTCAGATGGCAATGACGGTCAGATGTGGCCGAAGTAGTTATACTACAATATAAAAGGCATGGGGAGTCTTCCCTTGACAGAAAAAAAGGCACCAATTCAGGTATTGTGCCAATATGAAGCGAGACTGGCGGAAGACTTGCAGGCATGTAAGTGTCATCGACAGGACAAGGTTGACATTGTGCCACCTGCTAGGTATGCTACCACTCTTCGGAAAGTTCATCGCAGTACACTTTGTAGTGGGAACTTTGGCAGCGCGGCACTCAGTCACTGATGTGGCATTTCGTTTGTTTTTTCTGCGTGGGAGATGAATCAGTACACCCTTACACATGCTACTAGTAGCAAAGGGCATCGCTACTAGGAGCAAGGATGCTACGAACGGGGCTCCTGGCCTTACCCACAGGAACAAGAAAGCTACTATGTTCCTAAGAATGCTGGAGTCCCGCGGGACTCAGCATGAGCCATCCACAATCATCCACACATGGGAGCCACCCACGTCCGGTTTTCGATCGAGTTCTGCCACCATCGGGACCACGGGTCGGTCTCAGTTTTGGCCACCATTGTCGCACATTCTGATCAACTTCTACATGTGGCACTCGTGGTGCTACATCGAGGACTGGTTACTTAAACCTGGGCTGACAGCGCAGGTTTAGAAGCAGTTTTTCGCACCCAGTGCTGAGTGTCATAGACTCCCTTGGCGCAGGAGACAAATTAGAGCATTTCAGGATATTTTAGATCTAGGAGTCTAGGAGTGCCCTTTTTTTGGTGGATGCAAAAAGGAACGTGTGTGATCTAATAGAGGCGGTTCAAGATTGATTTAAATCTGTGTTTCTCTGCCCACCATGCCACTGAGCATAGCCACTTTGAGACTACCTCTGGTGGCATGACGCGTGCACCTTAAGGGCAGTGCACTCTTAGGCAAAATCAAAAGTGACACTTGTAGCAACATATTGGGATTAAGCAAATATGACTGGTACTTTGCCCAATGCGCAAGATCAGTCCCTCTTAATCCAAGATCCTTCTGCAGTGAACTCGCAATGCTTGACAACATTAGGTTATGGAAACGAAAGCATTTGAAGGCCATCGCGTGTGGTGCGTTTTGATTGAAAGGCCACCTCTGGTGCCACTGTTCAACGAGTAAAACCGCGGATCGCACTGTTTGGGCCGCGCTGGGCGGTTCTTTTTTTCACAGCTGGAAGGACCTACAAAAGACCTGTAGCGAGTGCTGCGTACCGATGGCCGCAGCCACGGAAGTGGGCATCGGAGAGGAGAGAGAAAGTGGGGGGCACAAGAGTTACGGCATTTGGGCGGAGAGCAAGAGCCTGGAGATTGCAGAACCATTGCAGACTTGTTTGTTTTGCATTTGCATCTTCCTTGTATGTACTAAGTAGGCGTGGAAATCGAATGAAGAAGCCTTTGGCTTTTTGAGTTCTCAGGGGCCTCTGGGAAGGAGGGAAATGAGATGGATGATTTGTACAGCTGGGCAGGAGCGAATCATTTTGAACAGCTGGATGGTGTACTTCCAGGAAAGGGCGAATGCTTGCAACTTCCTCAGATTGAGCCGCAATTGAGTTCAGGTTGAGCCCTTTGAGTCGATCGGTGGAAAGCTTGCTGAACGTGGCCCATGGCTGTCTTTCTTCAAACTGCATGGTTTTATGGGCAAATCATAGCAGTTCTCTGAGAGGGGCTTGTTGTGAGATGTTGTGAGAGTTTTGGCAGGTGGCCAAAGAATTGAACCCATTGAAAGTAATTACAAAAATGGTAGGGTTATACAAGTGACTTCAGAATTAATCAACCTCTTCGATCACTTGATCTCAGGTTTTGGGCTTGGCCTGGTGATTGCAGGCAGTCGGGAGCTCATACATGGTGTGGAAGCTGCACTTCCTGCAACGTGAAGAAAACGATATCAAAAATCATTCCGGTGAAAACAATGTCAGGACCTCAAGGACGTGTCGTGTGCGACTGAGGCTGGGGTGCATTCTATTTCCATTTAGTGGCAGATCGAGTGGAAGGGGATTGGTATGGCGATTGGGTCCGGAGGCCCAGAAACAAGTGCATCGCTACTAGGAGCAAGTGCCTTACTAGTAGTAACAAGAACGCTATTAGAACTTGTCACATGTGCCAAATTGTAAATCGGGAAACATCGCCTGAAACGGGGGGCTCATCCTCAAGACCCCCATCGGATGCGGTTGGATTTCTTCCGGTTCTTCGGCCGACGCCTGTTGGAGCCTTCGGACGGCGGTTCCTTCGCCACGCGTCGGTCAGACGTCGCAGTCTTTAGCGGTCGTATCTAGACGGCGCCTTCAACTGATGCTCTAAGGAGCCACCCAACTTGGTTTGTGAATCTCATTTATTTAATGTTATTTCCAATGGCAGAAGAGGATGAAGATGAAACATCTTCATAGGTGAACTTTTGGGAGAATTTCTGCCAGCAGTTGGCACAAGCTTGATAGCTTGCATTTGTTGTTGTTTTATTGCCTGGACACCTCGCATCGCTGTTTTTTGTACCGCAGGACTTCGTTGGGACACAATACAAATCGATCGGACACAATGGTGATGTGTCACGCACGCATGGGTCGGTTTGAGACACGTCGAGCTGTACAAGGCTTGTATCACCTACCCCACTTTCAGGAATTTGGATGAATTTTGCTACCCACGTTGCGTTTCAGTGTTTCATGGAGTCGTCCAGCTAAACAGGCTTTTATCCATTGGTGGGTGCATTTCTCTCTGAGCACTCTTGTGCCTCTCTCTCTCTCTCTTTTTGCGCGCACTCACCCCCTCTCTCTCATCCATCCATCTCATCCATCCATCCATCCAGCTCACTCCATGTGTTATTTATTTCTACATAGTTTCTGGATTTGTCCCTCTAGTTGTGATGCTGATATTGCTATCTCATTGCTTGGTCAGAACCTGCATTTTTAGTTTAGCAGAGCACGTCCTGCTCCAAGTTCCTCCCTCCAGAGAGGGTTTTTAATGGCATGTCCAACTTGTTCGAGGAGGTCCCAAGGAAAAATGCCAGGTCTACTTTAAGACTTCCTTGATACAGACAATGGGTGCGCAAATGCGCAGCACCATTGATGCAGTAAATACTGGCCATTCATCACCCAATGCTGGCATCCAGTTTCCACTTTGCCACTTGAGTCACAGCTTCTCTAATTTGCAACGGATTCAATAGGTAGCCCACGCTCGACTTGCGGACATGTCGTCGCGCCCCTCTAGAGCCCTTCCACTACGTGGGAGCCAAAAAACCAATGACGCAGCGTGAAACAGCCTTTTTCGAAAACCCGTTTCGTTCGAAGACGTAGAAACTGGTACTCGCGCCTGGCGTGACACCCTCATTGGCTTGAAGTGACTTTAGACAGGGTTGGTTGAAGCTGGTTCTAGAGCCAGTTGGTTCTTTCTACAAAATTCATTGAAGGTGGGCATGGACTGCAACCCGTTATTTTGCGTATTGTTGTCCTCCTTTGTTGTGTTTGTTACTGTACCTGTGTGTTCTGTTTGCATGGTTTCCCATCATTTACTGTGTCCGTGTTTCAGGTTGTTTCATTCCTCGTGTACCTGTGGTTTGTTTGCTGACTGCGTCCATCCTTTTCTGACGAATTCGTCAATTGCTTCCTTTAACACTTATATAAACGTATATACATAAGTTCACATCATTCTAAGGCGCAGAAGGTGTTCACAGAGACAGAACTTGTTTGGAAGACACACAGAACCATTCCGGGTGAAGCTTTCAGCGGTAGGGAAGAGATCCAATCACCTTTTGATTTGCACTGCTGCTGAGGTGGTGAGGAATCCAATCTTCCTTTGGATTCGAACTACCTTGGAAGTCTCTGTGGCCCCCTTCTCAGCTTTGAGCTTGAATCATTGAAGATTTCTGGGAGTTGAGCACAACGAGATCGCCATTAACTCTGCTTGATGCGAAAACTGGACTTCAATGTAGGGCACGCCAGCTCCTCCCAAGCTTTGCCTCGTTTTGTTGATGTAACTCTTGGATGCCAAGGGAACCCCTTCACCTCAAAGGAGTAGATCGAGTAGCTTTAATATTGAACAACCATCCTCTTCAAATCCCTCTTCAAAATAGACTGCTGGGTTTTTGACCAAGTGGTGCTTCAAGCAAATCGCCACTGAACATCTTCCAATGCTTTCAGGAGCTCAGGCTCAGGCCCCTCCAGGCGTACTTCCATAGAACAGACACACAAACACACACCCTGCAGTTCCGTCAATCCTTCACATGGTCATCAATCCTGACTGTCCATTCTGGACTCTCGACTTCGAACCTGTCCAAGTGGTTCTGTTCGAAGTACTGTACAAGCAACCTGTAACCCCTAGGTGTACTGTAATCCCTATGAAGCACTATGAAGTACTGTAACCCCTACAAACCTTGCTGTCCCATCCAACCCTTCCACCACTTCCAACCACTTTCAACACTACCCGTCAGCCCGTCCGCTGGCTCGCCAGTTGGGCTGGTTCTCCTCAGCGGCTTTTGGCTCCGTGAGCAGCTCAAGAGGAAACACCACCGAACGAGAACCTAAGACCTGCTAGGATGTGAGGACGTGCGGATGAGACGTGTGAGGACCTGATCCTGAGCTACGGTGTGAGGACCTGATTTCTTTCTTTTCTGGACATTCCGAAAACAAACTGAAGGTCCCGGAATGGGTTGCAGCAGCAAGAATTATGTTTACACTTCAGCCGGTTCCTCAGAAGCTATTTGCGGCTGACAAGCATGCTGGATCAGATCCACCAGCCGATACCTCATAGCCGAGGTTGCGCTATGTTCATCAGACATGGCCTGGAAATTCGTTTGGACTCAGGTTTCACCACGTAGTGGCAGGCATGGTGGGTCGCAAAGAAGATGCGCGGAGCCTCAGCATGTTGCACCACAGTCGGCAGCCCCTCAGCATGTTGAGAGTGGCAGCGTTGGAGAGGACTGAGACAAGTTGAGAGAAGTGTTTCAAAGCTGTTTTTTTTCCAAAAAGAACAGATTACAATGTCCAATTGTGCTCCTTCCTTCCTTTATTTGAGGGCGGTGGCGACGGAAGCCTTTGACATGCCTGACGTCGAAGTGTGAGCTCTGGGCCAACAGAAGTGTCCATGGGTTCCATGCAAAGGCGCATTTGCGAAAATATGTCGAACATCAAACAAATCATCAAGTGAGTTAGTTGAAGATCAAATGATCAAATCAAATCTTTTGTCCTTCAAAGAGCCAGACCAAAACTGTTTTGACACGTTTTAAGTTGTTAGACTTGTAGAAAGAGCCCCTCATGAATGAAAGAGCTTTGTGAGGTATGAGTTTCACTGTCGGCAAAATTCGTTTGTTCCAAGACGTCTACCCAAGTGGCAAAGAAAAGAATGAGCAAGCCTATGTCGCATTATATATGTGAGTTATCCAACCTGCTCAGTGGTACTTTGCATTGCTGAGCAAAAACTACAGAAGCCCATGCCTTTAGTATCCTTTACTTGTGTTTTTGTGTATCAGTTGTTTATACAGTGAGTTGGACAGGTTTGATCCCCCGAAGGGACCAGGGCGGCTTGAAAGAGTTGTGTTGGGCGTGCGGCCTGAGAGCTTGCCACACACGAAGTACTCTCTTGGTGGATAGTCGAATATGATCGAATGTGGGGGTTTTGAAGTTGATCGGTTGGACGCACACCTGCCCTTGCAATCCCTTGCAACATGTCGACTTTAGACAAAGCAAAGAGCAGGAAATGCTTCAATCAGTGACTGTGAGGCCTCCTAAATATGGTCTCAGATGTTTACAAGCCCATTGAACGAGTAAAGTGCATTTCGCCTAAAGAGCTGATTTCACGACCCGGAACTTGGCGCCATGAACTTCAAAGAAATTCCAATCAAGAGTCTTGGCCGAAGAAGTTGAGTAGCAGCCATTACTACCAGTAACAAGAAGCTACGAGGTGGAGGTCATGGCTATTAGGTTGGAGCGGTCGGTAAAGATTCAGGTTGCCATCTCGTCTCGGTGGAATCCTTCCACCCCCATGTTGTGGAAAGGTTCTCGAGCTGCTCGGGTCAAAGACCGTTTTGAACCTCAAATTCGTGACACCAAGAGCTGCTCGGGTAAGAGCGTGTTGACCCGTTGTTGACCCCTGTCAACCCCAAGTCCATTCACCCTTTGAGATGATCAAATTGGACCAACGACGGTAACGAAGCACACAAAATTGGATCCATCATGTCATGTTGTGTCCAAAAGTGTTTTCTCAGGACGTCCCAACTGAAGGACGTCCCCCCGGCCCTCGTACCGGATATCCAAGCGTCTCGTCGTTTTTCGTCGTCGCCGATGTCCGAGGAATCCAACCACCTTGCCATCGCACTTTGGCCCTGGCTCCCAATGGGGGAAGCCGCACCATGGCGATCCGAGCGCTCGGGATGAGAGGGAAACTGGACCAGTCCACGCACTGTCTGGACACAGAATGAGCACGAAGTGGAATCAGATGAGTCGTTTTCAAAATGATCGTCATTGACTTTATACAAGGGCGTTTTATCCAAGAGCGGAATCATATGGAATCATGTTGAGCCTTTTCATGCCTTTTCTTGAGAAGCAGAAGATCGTTGCAAGGTCGACCAAGATTGGTGAACCATGACAAAGACACCAAGACTTTTGACCTGGTGAACCATGTTTGAAGTCTGAACAAGATCTTATCATCAGGGAAGGGAAAAAAGCATGTTCAAACAGAGGAAAGGGGAACTTTCCACAACATCCCTAGTTCCAGCAAATGAGCTCCTTCTAGTAGGTTCAAGGCCATCGCTATTAGGTTGGAAGCCATCGCTACAGTAGTAGATTGGAGGACATCGCTATTGGGTTGGAGGCCATCGCTAGTAGGTTGGAGGCCATCGCTAGTAGGTCGCTAGAATGTCAGAGTCAGAAGGGTCCGCTTGTGGCCTTGGATGCTGTTTTCTCCTGATGGTCTCCTGGACTTTTTTCCAGCGGTAAACAGCACTGTTTCCTGCACAAGATGCAGCCACATGAACTATTCTTTGGGCTTGTGTATTGTTTCCTGAGCCACCAAGAAACTGTATCGCTGAGCCTTGCATATCTTAGGATCATTGGGGGTTCTTTATACTTGTGATATCGAAGTGACTCGTGAAAACCTGGAACTCCGTCTACCCTCGTCTGACCTCCCTGGTGAGAGTCTTCTCTGTTCATTCTCGGTGAACCATGGTGCCCCGGGGCCATGATCCTGGTGCCTTGTGACCTGAGGTACTATCCCATGGGCCAAGAATGCGAGAAGGTCCATGTGCCAAGAAGCCGAGGTGCCTCAGCTGGTCAGCTCGAACGACGTGCCGACAAGCCTTGATTTCTTCTCATTCTCAAAAGATGAAAAGAAGGTGCTCAGAAGATGCGATGGTTTACACAGATGATGATGTGAACCTTTCGGTCACCCTTTTTGGGGTCCAACCCCTGTGTAACTCCAGACTCCGAGTGATCCTCCAAGTGGATGATTCCTCCATGACCGGCTCTGAGCTGGACCCGACCCTTCTGCCGCGGAACCCTCGCCCTCCGAGGCACGAATCCCTTGAGCCTGAGTGCCACAGCCAATTGGCAATGCGTGCCCAACACACGCTTCGAGCGCACCATGCATGTACTGCATGACCCTCCCTCCAGCCGCTCCTGCGTCGTCTCGCACAACCCGGATGGGCTCTTCATGGATTCGCAATCTCACTACACCAAGGCTTGCAATCCAAATGGGTTGAAACATGTTGAAAAAACGAGCAAGATGGGCTACAAACGGACAGTGAGGGACAGGATGGCAGGATGGGCAGCTACAGGGTGCTGAGATGTGCTAGCAGGCCTAGCCGCCTAGGGTGCCTGGTTGACCACGGAAAATCCACCGAAGAGCCAGACATGGTCAACCGGGCTTCGGGTGTCATGACCCACGTCCGTTTGTCACATTCCTTGGTGCTTGGAAGGTGGGATCGAAACACCTGTGTGATCCTCGACCCGATCATCCACATGCGCTTGCCAGGCCATGTAAATTGAAGACCTATTCAGAAATCTATGTCGAATACATGGCTATATAGTTAACATATATCTGACCACACGATTCTAATCAATCGAATACATGTTGAATCCATATGTGCATATACTTGCAGAAGCCATTTATCCGTTTTGAAGTGGCTCCAAAACTGGATACTGCTAAACGGTTCGACATGGCTCCCTCAGTCCTCGCCAGGACCATCAGTGTGCCGTCGATGCATCCCTACAACGAGCGTCGGGCATTGCTGCGGGATCCGACCCCTTGGCATTTCAACGAGAATTTTACGACCAGCAACGACAGCTATGGAAGCTTGGATCGCACGAAGTGGACTTTGGGATCGCACCGATCGAGAAGGTCATCCGGATTGCAATGGTTTCAAAACGTGTCAAATGAGATTAAATGAGGAAAGAAATGTTGAATCAAGTGTAAGGAGTCAGGTCGTGGATTGCTCATTTGTTGTAGTCCTGTTTGTAGGATAGCAGGGAATTCTGCAGTGATGTTGGATGATTTTTGTTCTATAGTCCCTTCTGCTGATTACTAGTAGTTTCTTGTGATTCATGTCAAAGCTTGTTGGTCACGAGCCTTGGGTTCTTGAATTGTCAAGCGCACCCCTGCCGCTTCCAGACTTGTTGAGGCCTTTTCTACAGTAGTCACTTGATCCAGGAGCCAACAGTTTCTTGGTAGCAGCGCACGGCCAGTTGGATGGCATCCCGTGTGAGTTGTGATTGTAGGCAGCGATCGGCAGTTGGTGCGAACGGTTGTGCATGCAAAAGCCTGTTGGTTAGTGTGAAAACTTGATGTAAAGGCAAGCATGTGCCATATCAAAAGCAATAAGATAAGCACACCATAAAATAGAGTGTTTTGTGGTTTTGAGAGCGTGGTGCGAAGGCTAGTGGGGCACAGGCAGGTGTGACTTGAAAGTGAAAAGATAGGAAGAAGAAGCGGAGGAAGAGGAGGAAGCGGAAGAGGAAGAGCAAGAAGAGCACAAGGAGGATGAAAAAGCAAACCGCGTACAGCAATTTGTCTACCTGAGGCGTGTCACTGCAAACTTTGTCAGGCAGAAGGCACAGCAAGTTGGTCTACGGAACAAAGCGAAAATCGGGGGGGGCAGTTCTAGTATAGAACAGAAAAGAAAGAAAGGACATATCTGAAGAAAAAACGACATAAAGAAACGTAAAGGACTACAAAGAAACAAAAATCGATGTCTAAAGACAAGAAAGAAAATCGCGAAAAGGTCTAGAGCAAAATGGAAACAAAAGAAACAAGAATGAAAGGTCTAAGGCAAAAAGGTTACACAAAGCTTTCAACAACAAGATTACACGGACCGGCAAGGCGGTCGGATATAGCAAATGTGGGCAAAGTGTCGCAAGAAACACACCAGAATCATGTTTAAGTTCAAGCGATTTGCACAACTGGGGGCCCTTGGCTCCAGACGAACTAATGGGTTGATGGACGTCCTTCAGATTCTTCACAGGTTGTTGCTGCTCATTGTGGCGCCTTAGGTTCACCGGCGGAATAATTTCGACTGGATCAGAGCAAAGCGCAAGATGAAGTGAGCAAGAGCAGCAGGAGCAGCAGGAGTTGTCAGCTTGGGCTCAGCCACTTGATGCAGCTTCTTTACATTTCTGCAATGATTCTTCAATTGCAGCATTTTGCGTGTCCGTTTCACTCTTAGTCGAACCTGGCAAATGTCAGCGTGAATGGTATTTATGTGACTGCCAAATAGTTAATCTATTAAACATATAACTCAATAGATTCATAGTGATTTTCGCTTTGTTTTTCTGGTCCGCTCATACGTCGATTGCTTCGGTGTTTTAGGCTTGAAGCAAATGGGTAGCTTGGTTTGGTTTTGTTTTCGATGTTACGTCTCCACTTAAAAAATCCGATTTGTTTGCTATTGGTTTATATTCCTTACGGTATATATTTTGTATATAATACAAAATATATCGTTTTCGCGTCATTTAAATCGATGGATTGGATTATTTTCCTATATTATTTTAGAAATATTTTTTTTTTTTTGTTATAATCTAGTAATATTTTGATATTTATTTCGATTTGGAATTCGTAATATCGTTATATAAAGGATTTTATGGATTTTATATAAATTTATTGATGTATATAAATATCTATATATATTTAAAATATAATTCGTAAATTATATGTATAATTTTTTAGTTATATTTAATGATAATTTAATTTGTATTGTATTTTGATTTATATTATAGGGGAAATTAAAAAACTTGAGAGGAGGGAGACACGAAAGGTAGGATAGCGGGAAGAGAAGAGAACGCGAGAGGCAGGAACAAAAATGCAATATTCGATATGGTGATTTATCCCCTCGGAGGCGACCTTGCGTATATATATATTTATATGCATTTTAAATGTTTAAACATGTGCTCTCGAAATGTTCAAAAAGATTCTTAGGAAAACAAATTTGCCCCATGGCTTAGATTATCGGTGAGTATTGAATCGGAACATTATCGGTGAGTATTGAATCGGAACATCATAGGATTTGAACTATCTTGAAACCATAAGAGGCTCACGAAGACGCTCCCTAGGAGAGAATTGACGCGCTTCATAGAATACCTTTCGTAATTAGAATTTCATATTCACTCTTTCTGAATGTTCAAGAGGATTTTAACTATCCTTCAAGAGGGTTTCAACTATCCTGAAATCATGAGAGGCTCACGAAGACGATCTCCAGGAGAGAATTGATTTTAGAGGGGGGGGGTCTGTATTGAAAAATCAATTCCAAGGGAGCGGGGGGGGGGGGGGGTATTTAAAAAAATCGGGAGGGGGGGGGGGGGGGGGGGTCTGAATTGAGCGATTAATTATTAGACCCGGACGTCCCAACACTTGCTTCGCAAAACAATTTCAAGGTATCCCCTAAAGGACTACCTTTCGTGATTAAAGGGCCCTAGGAGAGAATAAAATAAACTCTAGATGTGCATTCCCCTCGGAGAACACCTTGCGACCCATTCGGGGAACACTGAGACGCTTACGACGACGGTCTCCAGATGAGAATGCTATTTTAACGAGAACACATTTCGTAATTAGAATTTCATATGCACTCTTTCTAAATGTTCAAGAGGGTTTCAACTATCCTGAAATCATAAGAGGCTCACGAAGACGTTCTCCAGCGGAGAATTGAATTTAGAGAGGGGGGGAGGGGGGGGTCTGTATTGAAAAATCAATCCCAGGGGGGGGGGGTTGTTTTGAAAAATCAATAGAGGGGGGGGGGTTGAGTTGAATGATCAATTATTAGACCCGGACTCGCCGACACTTGCTTCGCAAGTCAAACTCAAGGTATCCCCTAAAGGGCTACCTTTCGTGATATGATAGATATTAAATAATTAAGAATATTTAATTTATATTGTTTTTATAATAATAGATATAAATTAATTAAATATGTTTTGTTAAATGTAAGATATATTTAAAATATTTTAGTACATTGATTTATGTTAAAAATATATTTAATGATAGAGGAGATATTATTATATATTATAGATTAATTGAATTATAGACATAAGAAAAAAAAAAATAATATTAATGAATAATAATATAAGCGCTATTTTTATCTTCGAGTTACGGTAGCTATTTCCTTGTAGATTTTCTCGCCATTTTCTTTTGCCTTGTGCTCTGGAATTTTTGGCTTTCACTTCATTGATGATAGTTTTTATCTGGTTGTATTTCCTTCTGTTAGGACAGAGGCTAATATCCCTGGTCCCAAGTCTAGGGCCCATGGACGCCAATGCACCGCCGTTGATACCGAGCGGAGTCATGGGTGGCGTGAGGGTTGTCCGGGACTCCTCAATCCCGGATGAGAGTGGAAATGGTTCCTTCACTCGAAAATAGAGCTTCTCCACGAAGCCTTCTGAGGTATGGGCCAGAGGAGGCTACGGCCTTGTCGTCTCTCGGCCGCGCATCGTTCAGATCAAGAGGACCTTCTAGAGAGCCTGCTTCCGAGCATTGCAACATGGCTACACGCCTTATCGAAAAGGCTATCTTTTTGGCACCAATGTTCCCTGGCGCCTTCGAGAAACCTATCGACGGCATTCACAAGACAAGCTGAAGCAACGGACACCGCAAACAACACCTGGCATTCGGTGCATGACCTGGAATGCATCGAAGAACTTGGTCCATGACGAGCTCTTGCATTGGTGTACATCCCAACCTCTGGACATCATTGCCTTGCAGGAAATTGGCTGGAATTTCAACTCCACCTGGACGTCCCAGGGATGGCATTGTATCCATTCATCGACGAAGCATGCAGCCATACTGGTGCTCATCCGGAGTACCCTGGCCAGACCTGAACAGATTGCCTCGGCCTCTCATTTCGATGGCCGACTTCTTCAGATCCGCCTCTTTTTGGACTGCACATATGACTTCATCGTTATATATCAACATGCCTGGAATGTAACCAAAGGCAAGGAACAGCTTCTTGATAATCGTGCCAAGATTTGGACCAGCTTGTAGCAGCTTTTGAATCATGTTCCGCAGCAGCATCAAATGGTCCTGATGGGTGATTTTAATACCACCCTCAAGTTCGATCCGCCACACATCAATAGCCATGATGCCCGTGCATCCTTGAACACTCACACCGATCGAGATCTTCTTCAGCAATTATTGAAAGCACAGGACCTGATTGCGTTGCATTGTAAACAGCAGTATGCATCGACCTTTGAACATGGCTCCCATCATTCTCGCATTGATTATGTTTTTGTTCGACAACATCAGGTTCAATTTCGCCGTATGCAACCCACCATGGATAGGAGTTTTATGCGCAACTTTGGATGTCACGGACCTCATCATCATCCATTGTTCTTTGTCCTGCCAAGGTGGTTTGCGCCTCGGAAACCAGTGCTTCCTCTTAACAACATTGATAGATTCGCCCTCCGTACGGCTAGAATAGAGCACACTGCACAGTGGCAGCAGTTCGAGGTTCAGATTCGTCAGTGCATCGCTCGACACTCTCCACCTCATCCACAGCATCAGGTATCCATGCTCGATTTGGAACAAGAATTACGAACCATTTGTTCTCTTTTCTTTCCCAAAAGAAAACCGAGGGTCCCTCATGCACCCCAGATTCCCTCCATGGCCGCCAGGATGTGGAATGCCCGCAAGCAGGCTCTGGCCGTTCGAGGACGCTGCATTCGTGATCTCTTTGAGTGTTGGGCTCATATCACCACCTTCCGAACCATCCACAAAGCCATTCGTAAACAGAGCAGGCAGAATAAGCGAGACAAACTGCACCAGATTCTCACTGAGGGTGCTGATCTTGCCCTTCATGGACGCATTTTTGACTGGTACCGGAAGATCAGGCTCCTGTGTCCGAAACAAAGACCGAAAAGAATTCAACTCTTTGATACTCATGGCATGCCTCTTGCACCGAGACAGGAGTTGGAGTCCATCGAACAATACTATATACAACTGTTTGTTGATCCGCAGTTTGAAGTCCGGGACCTCAAACCCCTCACCCGCCTTTCCTTCGACCGCCAGGATGTGCTTATTGAACTTTTGCACCTGCCAAGCACCAAAGCCCTGGCACCGAACGGACTGCCAGCACTGATCTGGAAGCATTTTGCGCATGATCTAGTTGATCCTTTAATGCATCAGATACAGCAGGTTTGGCTTCGATATCCCGTAAACCTTCCGGATCATTGGACAACAGGATGGATCCACCT